TTGAACTGGAACAAGAAGATGCCGATGGTGGAGGGTTGGGGATGGATTGGAGATGCTAAATGACTGTAGGGCATTTTCACACCACTGCAAGCAAGAAAAATAGATCAGTCCATAGTCATCAAATAGTCTGTATGCCCTTCAATCCACTACAATATATTTACTTGAACTTGTTATTCAAAATGCAATAAGTAATATAGGTAGTCCACGACTTACAACAGTTTGTTAAGTCACCATTCAAAGATGCAACAGCTCTGAAAAAAAAAAGTGACTTATGATCAGTTTTCATACTTGCAACCATTCAAGCATTCCTATGGCCATGTGATTAAAATTCAGATGCTTGGCAACTGGAATATATTTATGACGGTTGCAGTGTCCCGGAGCGTTGTGATCACTTTTTGTGATCTGACAAGCAAAGTCAATGGGGAAGCCAGATTCACTTAATCATCAAATTTCTAACTTACCAATTGCAGTAATTCACTTAACTGTGGCAGGAAAGGTTAGAAAATGAGGCAAAACTCCCTGAAATGTCTTACTTAGCAACATAAATTTTGAGCTCAATTGTGGTCATACGTTGAGGAATATCTGTATTTACTGGAGCTTGCTTCTATGTACTCAAGATTTTATGCAAGTTAAGGCTCTTTCTATTAGAATTTAGTCTCTGTTCTATTACTCCTTGTATTCATAATTAGTGGGAGTAGTATTCTTATAGGTGTACCACCTAAAGTTCCATGTACATATTCTGGTGTTTGGGCTTAAAAAGAGAAACTTAAAGAATATGCTAGTATTAGTGAAGTTTTTGCAGCTCAATTTCCCTTCAGTTGGAAGCTAACAGAAATAATTTCTTATATCTATTCTGGAACTTGACCTAATCATCACATAGCTTAGGCTGACTTTTAAAAAGTCGAGACAGTATAATGACAATTTGGTATTGTAAGACACAGGCCTGTTGGTTCAATCTCATTAACTCACAAAATGGCCTTAAATAAACTACTCTCTGTGATACGAATAATAACACTATATCCAACGGGTTGCTGCCATTCTGGAGGGAGCAGGTTGTTGGAGCTGAATTCTTTGCATGCTTTCTCTTTTGTTGTAACTTTGGGCATTTGGGGGAGGGACTGGAAGGAAGCCCCAAGCCAGCTTAACCAAGGTTGCAATATCCTGAGATTGAACAACTATCAAGTTAACGCCTCAGAGTTTCTCAAAATGCCTTTGCGGCGTTATTATTGGCTCCTAGGGGATTGGGTGAGGCTTGAAGAGAAAAAAATAGCTTGATGTTTTGCATGGGCTTTTCAGATTCCACCTTACTTATCTGTAATCACTTTCTCTCAGTAAAAATTTCCTTTTGAACTGCTACCATTTGAAGAGTCACACTTTCTTGAGAAGATAGCTGTGGTAGGTCCTTACATTAGGCAGAACCTGCAAAGTGGTCAACCTGGAGAAGCACACAGCCCTACCATGGGGACCATGCAAACCATGTCCACCCAAGGCAGCATCCAAGAGGAACCTGAATGTTGGGGGGAAGCCTTCAGTAAGACTCATCAAGGAACCAAGGCTGGAGGATGGACAGAGGAGAAGCTACAAGCCTGGGGAAATCAGCAAAGCCCAGATGGTCCATCGGCGGCAGGAAGAAAGATGACTGGGAGGGGCGGACCAAGGGAGTCACCCTCATCCGAGGCAGCCGCCAATGTGACTGGAAAGAAGAATTGGAGGAAGAGGAGGAGGAGGTGGAAGGGGATGAACCCGATCATGCTGATCTCCTCATGAAGCAAGCCATGTGTTGCATGATGGATGCATTCGAGAACCTGAAAGCAGGGGAGGCATTGCTGCAGATGTCAGGTGATGGTGGCTGCTGGAGCCAAGCCAAGGAGTGGGAAGGGAGACTCTCATCCCTCAATATCACAGCCGTGGTGTCTGCCACCCTGGCCAAGACTGCTGCAGCTACGGTATTTCAGCCAAAAGATGCCAAGGGCCCCAACGTTCAAAGGTGGAGCAAGGTCTCAGAGGCAGTTTGAAGCTGCCTTAGCTGACCATAAAGCCATAAAGACTCCCCAGCAAGGGAACAGTCTGATGGCTGAATATACAGAGGAATTCCATAACCTGGCGTGCCGTCTCGACCGGCAGGAAGACATCCTCGTGAGCTGTTTCAAAGATGGGCTTAAGGATAACCTGTACGCCACACGCGTTGGGAGCTCCCCTCCTCTGCCTCCACAACTGGTCTGTGCTGGCCAAGGAAGTGGAAATTGACCAGACTTGAAACAAGTATTGTTTGGCCACAAATCTTGAAAGAAATCACCCCCTAAGAGGAAGAAAGAGTCAAGCAAAGTGCAAATCCAACTGGCATGCCCCACCACCGACTTCAAGTATGGCAGAAAAGGCCACCGAGCTGCTGAGTAACTACACCAGCTGCCCAGTGAAGAGAGTGGACCAGACCCAAGAGGGGGAGGCCTACGAAGCTGCTACCTTATAGAAAAGAAATGGCTCTGAAAAGGATGGAGGTCATAAGAGTTGCTTTTATATATTTTTTATATTTTATAATAACCCTTGCCCTATAGAGAGGAAGGAACTTCGACCCCACCAAACAATGACATGGAATCTGACAACTACAGCTTGATGTGATGTCTCTTTCATGGGGGGCAGCATGTCAGGTCCCCAATGGGATGCTGCCATTCTGGAGGTGGAGGGGGCAGGTTGTTGGAGCTGAATTCTTTGCCTGCTTTCACTTTTGCTGTAACATGAGGGATTTTGGGAGGGGCTGGATGAATAGGCTGCTTCCCAGCCAGAGCCAGCTTACCCAAGGTCGCAGTGCCCTGAGAGTGAACTACTATCAAGTTAACATCTCAGAGTTTCTCAAAATACCTTTGTGGCATATTATTGAGTACTGGTGAACTGGGGGATTGGGTGGGATTTGAAGAGGGGAAAAAGCTTGATGCTTTGTGTGGCTTTTCAGATTCCACCTGACTTCTTTGCAATCACTTTCTCTCACTTTCCTTTTGAACTGTTACCGTTTCAAGAGTCGTGCTTTCCTGAGAAGATAGCTGAGGCAGGACCTTACACATACTATCTAAAACAATACTACCAGTTCCTGCTAAGTTCTCATTCAACTTTATTCATTACTACCACCTTCTTGGTGACAAGTGTTGCTATAGGTCCATAAACATTTTTGCAGCTTGATTAATTTAGCAGAACAGCTGATCTTTTGCATTGAGTTCACTTTTGTCCATTAATTTCAGTGGACTTCGTTTCAGAGTAACTCAGTAGACCAGCTAATTTTACTTGTCTGTGTTAGAAATTCAAAGTTCATACAAGGCGCCGTGGTAGAAAAGAACATAATCCCTTGAGCGATATTGCCAGGTTGAGGTGAATGAAGTGAGTGGTATAGCAGTTCTTGTGCTTTTACATGGCCTTGTGCAAGTAATATATGGAATTTGATGTAATTTTGAAGCTGATCAGAGTCACCTGAACAGAGATGGATGGCAAATAATTTTGATAAATCAATAAAATCATTTTTCCATGTTGTATAAGGCATAGAACAGAGGTCTCATTCTCGCGGCCTGCGGGCCAATTGCGGCCCGCAGGACGATATTCTATGGCCCCCACCATGATATGAAAGTATAACATTTGAGGATATTTTTTTAACAACGTTTTTTGTGGAATCCCTTATGCGGCCCAGCCTCACCCAGACTCTGCCTCCAGCGGCCCCCAGGTAAATTGAGTTTGAGACACCTGGCATAGAATCATTCTTTTTTATGGATGGTCTGTTATGCACATAGAATGAAGTTTCTAATTTTTATGGCTATCATCTTATATTTTAGAAATCAAGACGGGCTTATTTATAATTCTTACTGCATGATTATCTTTTAACATTCTGCAAAATTTGTTCGTTTGCTTGTAAAATTTCAGGGGCTTGAAGTAGCTTTTTGACTATTTTCATTTGTCCAGTCTGAAGCCAAACTAGAAGTGGACGAGTTGGATGGTTGCTGATAAACAGCAGTCTTGTAATGTGGTTGATAACAGGATTAGATTTGCCAGGGCCAAAACGGTTGTAAGGCTATCCCTAGACATGCTATTTTCATATCTAATTGGGGAATTCTGAGAAGTTGAAGTCCACATATCTTAAAGTTGCCAAGGTTGAGAAACATTGGGTTGGAGGAAAATGTAACATGGCTTTGTGACCTTTGCATGGGGAGTCCAAGGGAGCACACAGCCATGGGACGGGTCCATGCCCACCCTTCGCCTTTTCAGTTGATTTTTTTAACAGGACTTAATTATTCGTGCCCCTTTCTAAAAATTGCTCAATGTTGAAATTTTAATTCTAACATTTTAATTTTTATATATAGATTTTATATGCTGGCATTTAATTGTACACTGCCCGGTGTAAGAGATGGACAGTTCAGAATTGTGAAAAATTAATAAATAAGTGGACTTGGGGAGAGTTTTCATTGGAATCATTGCACTCCATTCCTATTTCCTATTTCCTTAGTGCTATTCCACCTCCCCCCCGTTTTTCATGAGGCTGTATTCAAGTAAAGAATAAAGATACTTTTGAGACAGATTCCACTCTTGTTGATTAAATGGAGCACTCCCTAATGCAGTCTTTCCCTTTCAAAAGTGCAAAAGTTTTCTTTTTCCTTTTGTTCAAGATTTTTTTTTTTTAAATTACAGTCTAGTCTCCAGCTCCTCTTTGGGAATCTCATCTATGGCTTAGCCAAGGCTGACCCTTCTTGGCTACTAAATGTAGACAAGGGCAGTTTTCTACCACCACAACAAAAAAGAACATTTAGGAAATTAAGACCCAACTAGTTTGCTCAATAATACAGCCCAAATGTTTTAGATTTTTTAAAATAGTCAAAATCATGCTTGCTTTGTGCTTTTGTTTAAAGGAGCTATATATTTGTTTCTTTGTGGGGTTGCATGGCTAGAAAAAAAACACCTTTCTAAGACTGACTTTAGTTTAAAATAATAAAAAATGGAATGCTTTTTTTTTTTTTGTTCTGCAGTATTTTGGAAGTTTGCTTGTGATATTCTGCATTGAACTGGCCTGTGGTGTTTGGACCTATGAACAGGAAATTACAGTGAGTATGTGTATAGGAAAATTGATCGTGTTTAGAGACTTTGATTCTTTTAAATATTCAATTCTTGATATAATTCCTTCCTTCAAATATATGATGTTTTATTGAACATGAAAGTAAATTCTATGAAAATTACTTGGAGTGAGCTTTAATGTGATCCATTTGGGATTGATCTTAGGGATTGGCCTTATTATATAAATGGAAATTTTTGTTCCACATTAAAAAAAAACTAGCTATTTCTAGTTTAGATAAAAAAGAATTTCTGTTTATTATATTGTATTATTATATTATCGGATCAGATCAGATCATAATATTTTTATTACATGCTGTAGCAGTATATCCTTTTTTAAAAAAAATATGGACCTGATTCATATATTTAGATAATTTGTAATCAAGGTGAATAAATTAAGCTAGTGTATTAATAAAACTTGTTTTGTTTTATTAAGTCACAGTTGGCTTCATGTTGTTTCCGTATGATAGAGAAGAGCAAAATATTCACTGTGGGCCGGTTAAGAGCTTTATTAATGTCTGCCTAATCATATAAACTTGATCAATCCAGTTTTGCCTATTTGTCAAAAATTCTTTGGGTTTAAAAACGTAATCTGTTTCAGTAGCACTTTCCATCATTGTTCAAGTGAGTTGTGTGTGGAAACAATATTCATTGTCATTATTGTACCATGCCTCTTCTTCCAGTGCTCTGAAGAAGTTGAATCTTTATAATCTGTAGAAAATGACTAGCCACTCAATCCAATCCAGATAATATTTGCTGTTGGGTGCGATTGGAACCATAGCTAGCAAAATTATGTTGGTCTCCCAATATGAGAATTATACTATGGTGTTGTGACTGTTGTTGGACAAAGAGTGGGAAGACCCAGTTTAAAGTCCCCCTCAGCCCTGGGAAATTCATCGGGTGGCTTTGGATAGGTGCTCTTTCACAGCCCAACCCAACTAAATATTGAGGAAAAACGAGAAGAGGTAATGCTATTTACAATGCCCTGAGCTCTTGGAAAGAAGGTAGGGCATTACTTTGACAAAGGTGTGCAATAAATACCTATTGACCGAGATGTAAACCCTGGTGTGTTCATTAAATTTTATTTTCAGAAATGTGACTGCAGAAAAACAGCCATCCTACTCATTCACATGCAAAATCTTAAAACCATACCTTAAAAAAAAAACCTTACTCAACATATTTAGCATTACTTATTAAAGTTCAAGCAAGATTGTATAGCATTATACATTCAGAAATGTAGGCAACCACATTTTTGAATGGGTGTTTTTCTGTAAATATAGATGTTTGTGCTAAAACCACAGCTTTGTTAAAGAGGCAATTCTCTCCTTTCCCTTTTCAAGCTAGAAAAGTGATTCATTTCTTGCAGACGAAAAGTATAATTAGAATGAAGAAAACAAACTGGCATGTTATTGTGCTAGCTGTTGAATTCTCCTGTCTTCTTTTTCCATTTGGTACTTATTTATGAAGAGAATGATGTGCAGAGTTGCTAAAATAGATCAAACAGCAGCAGTCATGCCCTTCCTTCCTTCCTTCCTTCCTTCCTTCCTCCCTCCCTCCCTCCCTCCCTCCCTCCCTCCCGCTCTCCTCCTCCCCTCCCACTGGAATGAAAGGGATTCCTGGCACTTCTTTCATCTGAAATATAGCCTGCTAATAGTTTTCATCAAAATTCATTCCCCTGCTATCTATGCATTCCACCGAGAGGCTATCATTCTAAATATAACTACAGTTAAAAATATTATTTTCTCTAAATGTCGGAATAAAAATGGAAGCATAGCCACGTGTGTTTCATTCACCCCATGAGTTCTGCTCATGTCCTCGGAGAGTTTTATGGAGAAATGCTTCAAGAGAATTGAGGCTTCTTGCCAAGGTACAAGTTGAAAATGTTCACAAGGAATAGGCATTTCTTTAGAAGGGTTAGTAGCTGAAGAAAGAGCCTCTCCAGTGGGCCTTACTCTAGCTGGATAGATGAATGCCTGCACGAAGGAGAATCAATAAAACCCAGGGGTTGAAGGATGATAATAGCTCTTCTTTCTCTGGATGAGAGACTTGTACATTTCTCTTTTTATTTGGGGTTCTTTAGCAATTACTATCTGAATTAAGTCCCTATTATCTTTCATTCGGCACATCTATAAAATGCTGTCAGCAGCTGGCAAAATCTGGAATTACTGGAATTCACTCACCTATTACTGGTATGTTTTGAAATAAGTATATTTATTTATCATATTTGTATAACTGCCCATCTCACATGAAAGGAAGTATATTTTAAACCAGACAACAGAAAATATTGCTTCATTTCAGTGTAACAGAACAAACAAGAACTTGGTATCCGATTGGTCAACCAAGGAATGTATCCGTTTTACCAGGGGTGGGATGCCAGGTGCTTTGCGCGGCACGGCTGAGGTTGAAAAATCAGGAATAAAGTGGCTTTCCAAACACTGCGCACCCGCGCGCAGCGCTTTTCAGCTGTCCGGGCGGCACAGCTTAATGGTTTTTATACATGCACGAAGCGCGCAAGCACATGCAAAACATAGTCATCAAACCGGTAGTAACACCGGTTGAATCCCACTCCTGCGTTTTACTAATCTCATAAATGAACAGGTAATCCTCAACTTAGAACAGTTTATTTAGTGACTGTTCAAAGTTACAATGGCACTGAAAAAAGTAAATTATGACTGGTTTCCACCTTTATAGCATCCCCATGATCATGTGATCAAAATTCAGATGCTTGGCAACTGGTTCATACTTATGACCATTGCTGTGTCCCAAAATCATGTATGTTCCCCTTTTGTGAACTTTTGATGAACAAAAGCGACGGGAAAGCTAGATTCACTTAACAGTTGTGTTACTAACTTATCGGCTGCAGTGATTCACTTAGCAATTATGGCAATAAAGGTTGTAAAATGGGGCAAACTCACAGATGTCTCACTTAAGAACAAAAATGTTGGGCTCAATTGTGGTCATAAGTCAAGGACTACTTGTGTAAACCTGTGTACATTAAATCATTGCATTGCATTTTTTTAAGATGCCAACCTCCTCCTTCCTACTCTTAGATATGCAATTTTTTTGTTTTAAGTATATTTGTTCTATCATAAAAGGTAAAATACAAAACAGAAAAACAAACAAAACAAAACAAAACCATACATCCAGCACTAGCAACAACTAAAAAGAAAAGAAAATTGGTGTACAGAAAAGGAGAAAATGGTGATCCAAATATAAAATAAATTGTTGTTTCTTTATAAATGAAAGATTTTTTTTGTATACTTGTATGAGCAATTTCAAGTGATATAAATTATTAACAGTTAATAATAATGGCCTGTCTGTCATTGCACTTGGATTCAAATTTTCATTTAAATCAAACGAAGTGTATTTTAAAAAATCAATGCAAACTTTTGGTTGAATGATTGGAAAAAGAGTTTAATTTGCAGAACTATCCATTCAGCAAATGGAATTCTTATCCTCTTGAATACAAGGTTCTTCAGGGGACAAAATTAAAACTAAGATAAAATATTTGGTTTTATTGTGTTTCACTAAGCTTTTTAAAAATGTTCATTCTTTTTAATCTTAGTTTGATCCTTTTTTTAAAAAGTAGCATTTTGCCATGAGCACATTACAGATGCATTTTCCATAATGCATATTTATTTTATTTTTTGTCTTCAGTTGTATCATTAATTATCATTTCAGTCCTTTTAATAACTTTCAATATTTGAAGGAAAAGCAGATTCAAATATGAGATCATGTTTTATACTACCTATCTCCATACATTGTCACATTGCAGTTTTCTATATTTGTTTATTACTGCGCAGATATTTGTTGTTTCAAGCACACTTTGTGTGTTTTTCCATTGACATAGTTATACCTTTCCTTTTTTTTTTAGTATTTTCTTTTCTACTTACATTATACAGTATTTAATTTACACACCTTCATTGTCTCCATCTGTTGTAAAAGACAACACTTTGCCTTTGACACCTTACTTAAATAAACATTCTTTGTTCTGCATATATAGTATACTGTATTCAGTATACTTATCTTGAAGCGATGTCATAACTTTCTCCAATTTAGCATCCTTCAGATGAACTGAAACCAAAACTTTCAGAAATCCTGCCAAATCTACCACATCTTCAGGACGCTAGTTTGGGAGATTCTAGTTTAAATAAATATGTATGTAATTACTGATGATACACTGTCTTGTTTGCCTTTGTTTTTATGCTATTATTGTTTTTATATTCCACCATTGCAGATTTTTGGCAGAGTTAGTTTTATTGTTTTGATTTTTTTTTATTCTTGTAAAACAACTTGAGTTGACTTGAATTCATCGGACAACATATACGAATGTGTAATACATAAATGTTACCTAAAAATACTTGCAACTTTTTTTCTAATATATTTTTCTGCACACTGATTTGGTATTTTATTAAGGTAGGGAAATGAAACTTGAACTGAACATCCTGTTTCAATTTGTGTGAGCACCTTTCTTCTATCAGTAGACATAACTGAGAATCTCAGAAAGTGTTCTACTGCACTGAGTAGATGGTTTTATTTCAGGAAATATATTTGCCATTTGATTCCAGATTATGATTCATGGTTTAAATATGGGCCAGGAAAATATGATGCATGAGATATCTTGGAACTTAGTCTTTATCAGTCTTGGCCAACATGGTTAACAATCATGGATGATTTACACTGAATCCAGCTGTCAGGGTTCCGACCAATGCCCTAATAAAATTAAGAGTCTCAAGCCATTTAGCAAGAATAATCCAGTTGTTTATTAGGAGCTCCATGTCAGCAGTACCTAGGTGAAGCCAACTCTGGCTTCACCCAATTCCTGCCTTGCCTCTGATCCTGTTTTCCCTCCCCCTAGAGTGTGTTACAGTCACATTCCCCAACGAAGCAATTTCATGGCTCGTAGAAATCACTCCCTCCAGCTGTTGTGGGTTTCCGTGGAGACGGCCTTGGCTTCGGCTGGCTTGGCTGTGTCTTGTTTTGACTGAGGTGTGAATTCCTTGGTGCATCTGTGAGGTGCAATTCCCATCCTCCTGCCTATGGCAAATTAGGAGCAGGTCGGGAAAGCTTCGCGAGTTAACATTAGCTATATCTTGGAAGGCTACAAGTTCTCCATCTCTGATTTAGAAGTTACTACATCTCCTTATCTCTTGTATGAATTAAATTATTTGTTATAAAGAAGAAACTAGGCTCAAACTGATTCCTCAGATCCAGAGAACAGTAAAAGTTTCTGCTATTTCTCATGAGGCATAAAAGAGAAGAGGAAAAATAAGGGAGGAAGATGGGTGAGGTGGCCTTATTACAGTTTGTCATTATCGCAGGAAAACCTTGTTTCCTATTATCACAAAAGTGAACTGGTTCATTTTTTTTGGGTTGAAAGTAATATAACATGTCTAACTGGGAAGATGTGCTGCTTCATTCACAGGGATTGTTATTCATAGCACAGATTTTGAGTCAATACTGGGAAGAACATTACTTTTTCACTATTAGTTTTACTAGCGAAACAACTGAATCTAAACAAAATAACTGGCCAAAATCAATCTATACTGTATAACAATTTTATGTCAATTTAGTGGAAACCCAAATGCCTAAAGAAGAGCTTTTTAATGCAGGGATTAAAAATTTGTCTGGGATGATTTAAAGACTTGGGGTGAAGGGTTGGACTCCAAGGTCTCTTCTAGCTCTTACATTCTATGAGCCTTTTTTTTTTAACGGCTGGGTGGAGGTGGGAGTAAAGGACTGATTTGTTCCTTATTTGATAAATGATATTTTTCATGTAGAATGCATTTTTGCATTCAGTATATTCCAAGTATTAGCTCAGGGGGGCACGGATGGGGGGCATGAAAACAAGTTGGTGTAAGGTTAGGCCTGGGCATTTTTGGAAATAAATCTTATTTAGAAATCCAGAAATATTTTTATTTGCTTGATACAAAAACACTGATAATAGACAAATCATGCAGTTATCTTTATTCTGGAATCTCCAGACAGTTTGTTGCAGTGTGTTATTTTCTTTACATTAAAAGTGTGTGAGTGTGTGTATGTGTGAGTGTGTGTGTGAGAGAGTATATGTGTGTGTGTGTGTGTGTGTGTGTGTGAGAGAGAGAGCGAGTGAGTGAGTGTGTGTGTGTGTATCCACCACATGTGGTTATCTTTTTATTGGAAGTGGGAAAATTATCTGGATTTGAAGGATGCCCCTGGCAAAGAAGGACTGTAGCTGTATGTTCACAATATCTTTCAATCACTTGCATTTACAGCTGAAATCAACAATAACCAAGCTATAAGTATGAACATTGATGTTACTGAACAGCAGCATTTTTACCTGAGATGCCAGCTGGTAGTTACAACAGTGTTGTGTAGATGATCAGGCATTCCTGGAGATCTTCATTTAAACTTAAGACTGAAATTTTAGTTGTGTTCCTTAGAGAGTTAGGTTAGTTTAAGCACCTCTTTTTCAAGTTCATGATGTAAATGGAAAGGTTTCCAGGAAGATTGCAGAGCTAACCAATTATTTCCAATTATGTACAGTGGTATCTTGGTACTTGGCATTAATTCATTCTGGGAGGTACAACAAGTATTAAAAAGGTCAAGTCTCAAACAAATCACATGACTTGCCATGTAACCCATATAATTTTCTGTCCCTTTTCCTTATATCAATGACCTTCCCAGCATGGCCAACTTCCGGCTATGTAGCCATCCTCACGCCTTTTGCAATGATCTTCCCAGCATGGATGACTTCCTCTCCATTCCTCACAGCTGTCCCCCTCTTCTTATAGCAGCACGTTGAAGTACTAAACAAAGGTCGAGTACTGGGACAATATTTTCATGTCAAATGCGTTGAAAATCAAATGTGTTTTGAAGCAGTTTTATACCCAGGTACCTCTGTAGTTGCAGTAGAATATCCTCAGGTAACCTAGCAGATATTATTGAAAGGTAGTTTCCAGTTTTCCCCAAGTTTGCCATTCAACATGGTACTCAATATCATGGCATTGGGCCTGCCATGGGGCAATATAGAATAACTCCACTTCTTCCATGCAACAATTGTTCAGCTATTTGAACACTTCTTTTGTATGTTGTCTCAGTTATTTTTTTTCTGTACCCATGTTTTTTTCAGCATAGGAGTTAATTTCCAGATTCCTCAACATCTTCATTGTTTTCCGCTAGACTTGTTCCAATTTGTCCCTGTCCTTTTTAATCGTGGTGCCCAACGTACACACAATATTCCAAGTGATAGGATAAAGTGGGTTAATAACATCCCATAATCTGGATTCTGTAACCTCTGTTAAGAAACCCAAGGTAGCATTTGCCTTTTTAGTGGCTGCATCACACTGCTAACTTATGGTTAATAAAACACCTGGATATATATCTTAAACTGGTCCTTTTTGAAGTTGAAAAAAAAATACTGTATTAGTATCTAATTAGCACAACTTGGAAATGCGAAAAAGAATTTTTTTTAAGTATTAATGTTGCAAAATATATAATTTACTTTTAAAAAAGCAATCAATGGAATAAACATAATGAAACTATACATCAACATATTGATGTATTTCAAAACATCAAAGCCAATTGATTATTTTATTGATTTATTCCTTTGATCAACTCTTGCATTGTCTATAAAAAACAATAGCTGGGTGTTTGAGGGTTTTATTTATTGAAGGGTCTACTTCCTGTAGAAGATAAATGAACCCGCTATGTATATTTGGTGCTGTAATCAATAATGTTAACATTGTAAATGATATTGGAACCAGAATTCATATGCTTTGAGGCTTTATTACAGAATAACTGAACATATGATGTTGTAAAATTCTCTCACGAAGATAACCTTGAAAAGGAGATTAGTTTGAGCAACACCAGATGAATGTGTTATAAGTAATATGTAAACATATTTCCATTAATTTCATGGCTCATGGTCTGAGGATGGGAAATGTTCTCTCTTTGCACATCTACTTAGAAAATTGCTTCAGAAGTATATTTAACAAGCAATTTCTTCAGTTGCTAATGTGTTATGTTTACAGCTTCCTGTTGTGGCAGTTGACCATTCTTTTATTTTTTCCTCCCCCTCAGGTCCCTGTACAGTGGTCAGATATGGTAACTTTAAAAGCCAGAATGATCAATTACGGCTTACCGCGTTATCATTGGCTGACCCATGCTTGGAATTTCTTCCAGAGGGAGGTTAGTGATCAAGCAGTCAATAATCATGTCTGTGAATTATAAATTACATTTATATGTAGTCAAATTAAATGAGATAGATGTGATTTTTTTCTTCTTCTCCTAAGTCCTGTTACAGTTGTAAATGTGATGGAAAGGAATGCATAACTAATTCCAATAAATGAATCAATATAATGAATAATCTGCTCCCACCTCCTGTCCACATGATGGATAGGAAACTGCCACATAGTTAAGCTAAAGATAAACAGCAGGAGAAGGCAGTTACTGATTTTGCCTTGATTTTGAGTATGTCTGAAGCTGGGCAAAAATTATAACCACGATTAGTAGTAACAATTTACCAGGCTATCCTGCTTCATTCAACTGTCCATGGTTAAAATTATGATTTTAATCTACATGAGCCATATAGTACTGGAGTTGATGCCGTTGAGCCTTCAACTCCAGTACTATATGATGGCAGGGTTACTTTTCATAGTAAAAGGAATGGTCTGCATAAATTATGGAAAGGAAAGAACTTAACATGTTCCTGATGAAAAGATCTTATACGCTTTGAAGGCCTTGATTTAAAATGTATTTGAAAACTTCAGTGTTTAAATTTAAGCTCTGGAAGTAAAGTCGAAGAAAGCCTAATTATTTCCAGAGAATTACAAGCAATGTTTCCATAGATTGTGTGATAGGGTCCAGTTTTATTTCTTGCATTTAACTGATGGTGGAACAGCACAAATTTGTACATTAATGGAAACAAGGTCACAGAAGAATATTAACAAGATGAATAGAAAGTTAATAAAATATTAACAAGAAAATAGAAAATACATGGAAGTATGAATAAAAAAGCCATTTGTTTTCAGATACTTCTTCCCGATCAGACACAGTTTTAAGTATCAGTCATTTTCTTGAAATCTGTACATTTAAAAATTTCTTGGCTGAATTGGTAAGTTTGTTTTAGAAACATTAAATAGGAAAGCAAATGCAATTAATGAACTACATTCTTCAAAAGCTCTGAATCTATTGAGGAAAAATACAGAGCCATGGTTCATCTTTTTTGATGCAGCGGGGGGCGGGGGGGAAACTTTAAAAACCCCTGGTTTATTTTTCCTGGGAGAAAAGGGCCTTATTCTCTTTGCACTTTGGTGTTCTGTTTTAAGAATTGTAACCTTAATGAGTGTTGGGCTTCTAAGTGCTGAAATTGTTACAGAGAGCACTTGTGGTGAGAAACAGTTATGGGTGCTAATTACAGACAGCTTTTTTTTTCTGTTTCATTGGGCAAATGAGAAGATTATGACCCTCATTATTACACCAATCGCAGGAGAAAATGTGCAGTAATTTTAAAGAAAAAATTAAGAAATAAATAAACATTCCTTAGTGGCTTAGTTTAAAATTATCTTTCTGGAGAAGCTCTCTGGTGTAACCCTAATATTGGTGCATTCACTGAATGATTCTGATTATTGTTAAACCTGCTATTGCTATGCTATGTTGTGAACTTTTTAAACTTTTAATATTTGTTTGCTGCCTGTTGAATTGAAGGGTTAGAATTGAATGGATTTGGCAGATTGTACTGAATTGGCAGATAAATGTTGTAAATAAATAAAGGCTAACTATGGACATGCCAAAAACACTTACATGGACACACATGAAAATTGATAGAAGAGACAGATGTTGTTACAAACTGAGGCCAGGGCCACAGAAATGCCACTGCTGTACTGAATAGAAATCTGAACAAGATTTCTTCAAAGTCATCTGGTCTATGCAGAGACAAATTCCCAGTTGCCCTTTAACCAATGCTTTCCAAGTTACCTACAAAAATATTCTTAAACAAATCTATAAAACATAGCTAAGCTAAATACAAGAGATGCAGATTAGATATATCAAAATACCAGACATCAATGACCAGAGTAACAGAGCAAAAGAAATTTGTATTTTCATCCTGAGATGTTTTATCCCAATTGGATTCATACATGCAGTTCTTAGTTCTATGAGGAGCCATGTTGAATGTAATATTGGGCCTCTCACCACACATAGCATGTGTTGTTATAAAATATGGGTGCCAATGGGCTGTTTATCTAATATTTGGTTTGAGATATTTTACATAGATATTTGCTATGCGTGTCCATGACAAGGAACTTGGTGAAACCTTCCATATTTAAATCACTGTATCTAAATGCTCTAATTTCACTTGAGTATGTGCTCTCCTGAAATGCTCGGGGATTTTGCATTTACAGATAGTCCTTGCTTAGTGACCATTCAAAATTGTGACAGCCACTGCCCCCCAAAGGTACTTAACCCGATTTTTGAAGTTCTGAAGGCCATAACCCCCACTCCCGCCTGTGGTCACACGGTAGCATTTTGGGTACCATGGCAACTAGCTTGCAGCTGTGGCCATTTGTAGCATCCCACAGACACATGTCTGTGATTTTTGATGTTTTTGCAAGTTCCCAGAATTTACTTCGAGGTTCTGGCAAAACAAAACAAAACACTTTAGATAAAATGGATTTGCTTAATGACCTCCACATTTGCTTAACAACCACTACATTCGCAGGAAAAAAGGTCATAAAATTTTATGCAATCATGAGGGGATTCGCTTAATGACTGTAATGACTTACTACCATAATTCCTGGCTCAATTATATTTGTAAGTCAAGGACTACTTGTAGATATTTTTCCATTTTAAAGGTGTGTTTATAGTAGCACTGCCATTTCAATAAAATGTACCTATCTTTCTTTGAACTTCTACATTTAAAAGTTTTGGATTTTAACCCTTTTTTAGACAGCTGGACAAGAAACATAAATGCTAGAATTCATCATATACTTTGCTTGTTGGACAACCTGAAGGATTTTAATCTGTAATTTAGTCTGTTCCATCAGTCACAGATTTGGGTGCCTTTGATATTCCATAAAAATATTATTCAGAAATCTGGGAATGGGCAATTTTGGTTTCCTGTAGATTTTCCATCTCAGCTTCCACTCTCCCAAAGTAGCTGTCTCAAAACAAAATAAATATTTGTTTGTTAATTTATTTATATTTATCCTGCCTTTATTGTTTTTTTTAATAACTTAAGGTGGCGTACATATCTCACACTCCTTTCTCCTCCAGTTTTCCTCATAACAACAACCCTGTGAATTGGGATAGTCTGAGGGAGAGTGACTGGCTTACAGTTATCCAACTGGCTTCCATGCCTAAAGCAGAATTAGAACTCACAGTCTCTTGGTTTCTAGCTTGATGCTTTAACCACTGACTAGACCAAACTACGCTCTCATTTTTTATTTTTTATTCATTATTTTTTATTTATTTTACATTAGAAAACCAGTAAGATCATTAGTCCTTTGGCCAATTGTTACATATCATTTAGAAATCTAGATTCTGTCATGAGGATTAGAAACTTTTTCTAGCACAGAAGTGACAGTTTATACATTAGATTTTTCCTGCTATAAACTTCTGTAAATTATACCCAAATTCCAATCACATTCTCTTGCCAAATATGCAAATCTAACTTTTGAAACAGACATATTTGTGAAATGCATTCTAGGTAGGTCCAAAGCAATTTTTTGGTGGCTTTAATTAGAAAAGCTGACTTACAGTTTTAGGAATAAAACTAATTTGGTGTATTTCCCATTTTAACATTATGCTAACTCTGTCTGACCATTTACTGTTTAGCTTTTGAAAATATTTGGAACTTGCTTGCTTCCTACTTTAGTGAGTACCTGTCTTTATTTCACTAAAAGCACATAATTTTATTTGGGAAACTATTTTTTAAAGTTAGGATACATTAATTTCCTAATAGGCATGCCGCTTTGTTTTTTTCCCCATTTTAAAACAGAGGCTTTGCTTACCGAGATGAGTCACAAAGGAGAAAACAAAGGCCTTGAGGTTTGGATGATAATTTTCACATTTGTATTTTGAGAGGAATTTCATTTAGGCTCTCTTGAAGTTTACAAAACACCTATCTTCAGATGCATAAGTGCTTTAGGTAGTTCAATCAAATGGAAGGATAAGATGATGTTTGGCCCGGGCAACATTCCAAGCTGTTTTTCTTTATAGCTCTAAACAGGCCTTGTTTTCTCCTTTGAACAGAGGTCTCCAAACTTGGCAACTTTAAGACTTGTGGACTTATGGGAGTTGCCAAGTTTGGGGACCCCTCTTCTAGAATATTGATATTCAAAATGAGGTTTCCTTTAGAGAAGTTGCGAGCTGGAATGCAACTCAGAATTGTTGACTGCATTCTGTGGTCCTACAAGCATCATACCAAAGGTGACGGTTCTTTTGCAGTTTAAGTGCTGTGGAGTGGTGTATTTCACGGATTGGCTGGAAATGACAGAGATGGATTGGCCTCCTGATTCCTGCTGCGTGAGGGAATTCCCAGGATGTTCTAAACAGGCACACCATGAAGATCTGAGTGACCTTTACCAGGAGGTAAGAATTGAAGCGAAACCTTCTTCTAAGCCTGTGTGTTTTATTTGCTGCAGCTGCTTTCCACTTACAGTATAAGCACATCATCCTAAAGTCTTCAGCTGCATGCCGACCTTGATAGCGGAATTTGGACTTTATTTTTTTTACTAGAAAACGCGTACCCCATTTGCGTCACCATTTCAGAGTATTTCTTTATCTAAACCAAGAAACAGAATGGGCGGGCATAAAAGCAGCGGGAGTAGGAATGATTTCCTACTTCTTGGAAGCTTCCCCATTGAGTTTCTTTGTCGGAATCCGGCAACGGGTATCAGAAATGTTCCCTTCCTTTCCCTTCACAGATAAATGGCTGCTGCTGGGAGGGGAAGGAGTGAGAGATTGTGAGATTGATTGGGAAATTGTCATAGAACGTTGAAAATGAATGTCACATGACTGCAGCAGCAGCAGCCAGTAGCACTGAAGCAGCCACAGCTTCCCCAAATTTCATTCCCACAGGTCCTAGATTTTGAATGCATTCTGGAAATTGAGGTACCTTGGTTTAAAAATTGCTTCCCTGTGATGCACTGTTTCACACAGTTGAAGGTCATGATAATGAGAATTTTTAGTGTTAGTATTAGAAGTACTACTAGTATGTGTATGTGTGTGTATTAAAACAGGGATGAGCATCCATAAGAAGTGGGGTACATGCAGTCCACCAGCACTCTCTTGGAAATATTCAGAGCCCCCTCTAGAAAAGGTAGAAAAATTATTGAGTTTGAGGGACAGTTTTAAAAGAGTCAATTCAGCCTTAACCCCTCCAATTCTAATTCCTTCTAGAGAAAGGGTCATAAAAGTTGGCTCTTCTTACTTTGATGGTGTCAAAGTATGTTTCTAACATGTCCCTTGTGACTTTCAGGAGCCAAAAAATTAAAAGTCTAATCCTGGGCCATTTTCTATAAGGAAATGAGTTTTTTTGTTTTCTACGGAAATTTATCTTAAACCATAACAAAATTCTTGATTTTGTTCTGATCCAGGAAGACCAAAAACAAGGCACAAGTCTTATTCCCATGTAGCAATATTTAGATGCAAACCCTTTATGAACTTGGAGACAGAATTGCTACCATGGCCCACAGCCATTGATAGCCTTAATCTTGGTGAATCTGAACATTCACATCAGATGTTTCATGGGCAGCTCATACAGAGCTAGTTTTCTTCTGAAATAGAGATCAGTCGTCTAAAGACAAATTTGGCATGACTTTCTATATTTTTTCATTCCCCTCTTCCAACAGGAAATTATTGAATGTTCTTATTGGTGTCACTGTTAATCCAGCCAAAAATAAAAGTTCTTTTTAAAGGAATTTAAAACATTAAGATATATTTAAAATCCAATGCAATCCCTTAATGAACGGGAAGTTTGGAAGCCAAATGGTCTAACCCAGTGATGGCGAACCTTTTTGGCACCGAGTGCCCAAGGCATGCACACACACACCCAAAATGCACATGTGTGCCTTCTAGTAACATATCTGATTACTTACATCTGTGTTTATTTAAGAGTTATATCCATCCCATGTCCAGGATAGCAGAATGTTGCTGAAGTCTAATAAAAAGATGCATTCAAAAATCCAGAATTAGCATGGGGATTTTTCTCTAATATTGAAAAGTCACAAGAACATTCGCAAGGTAAAGGCCAATCTAAGTAAACGGAATGTTTCTTGGACAAAACATAACAATTGAGAAGATTTTCTCATCACATCTCTGGGTAAATAGATCTAGAGAAAGTCAGTTGGAAAAAGATACAGGTAATCCTTAGTTAATGACTGCTTGTTGAGTGGCTGAAGTTATAACAACAAGGAGACTTATCCCCGATCTTGTTGACTCCATCACAACCCCCCCCCCCAAAGTCACACGATTGTGATTTGGGAGCTGGGCACCTGGTTTAGAATTATGACAGTCACAGCATCTGGCAACCCACTTGATCCCATTTGCAATCTTCTCTGCTGGCTTCCAACAAACAAGTCAATAGGGAAATTGCAAATGGTGATGCTGACATGCTTAAAAACCGCATAGGATCCACTGAACCAACGCAAGTGGAATTGCCAGATTGCTGTTGTAAGTTGGCAATGTTACACGGTGTCAAATTTTACAACAGCATCACATAGCAACACAGTTGCTGGTCTCAGTTACTCTCCTTAAGTGAGGGCTACCTGTATTGGCATACTGATGGAAAGTCCTTTACATGCCAGAATCCCAAATTGAATATAGATTTGCGAGAAAAGCCCTTGGAATTGAAACGGAAAATGAAGCAACCTTTTGTCACAAATATTAGAATGGCCATTTGTCATTCATAGGCCCTTAATTGTTACAGCATTCATACAATCTACAGGTCTGGGTTGCCTGTATGTACACTTTTGGGGGGGGGGCTGTCCCTCTTTCTATGATGTGTCTTTCTTGTTTTGTATCTTCACAAAATCTTTTGTGCAACTACATTGCCAGCTTGTAGTCTGCTTCGTTCCTGGATCTTCACTGAAATTGCTTGCGATTGTTCAGTACTACCTTTTTAAGAACTTCTATTCATCCATATTCCTTTTCTCATAAGTGTCTCCCTACAACTTGCTATTGCTCTATATTGTTTAATGTACCCTATAACTATCATTAAGTATTGTACCTGATGATTCTTGACCCTTGACGAATGTATCTTTTCTTTTATGTATACTGAGAGCATTTGCACCAAGACAAATTCCTTGTGTATCCAATCACACTTGGCCAATAAAGAATTCTATTCTATTCTGTTCTATTCTATTCTATTCTACTCTACTCTACTCTACTCTACTCTACTCTACTCTACTCTACTCTGTTCTATTCTATTCTATTCTATTTTACTCTACTCTACTCTACTCTACTCTACTCCACTCTACTCTACTCTACTCTACTCTACTCTACTCTACTCTACTCTGTTCTATTCTATTCTATTCTATTCTATTCTATTTTACTCTACTCTACTCTACTCTACTCTACTCTACTCTACTCTACATTTATTAAAATGGGCACAGATTCTGGGGTAACTAAAACCCCTCTTTGCTTTAATTTTATCTTTCCTTTTTATTTGGATTTTCTTTTGGAAAGGCTTTTCCTTAGTAGAACAGCCAGTAATAAATAGTAGCAATAGTAATGCTTTTATTTGTTCCTTGATTTATTTTATCACAGATGCTCTGTACAGTGTTGCCAAATTCATTTGCATTGATTTATGAGCAGGTGTAGATACTTTTAACAGTGGAACTTTTCCTCCTTTTTTTGTTCTTTTGAACAAAACATATTCTCTCATTGATGTATTTCAGTCATTGGCATCATTTGCTCCCTTCATATACTTTATACCTATTAGATGATACAATTTTTATGCTAGGAGTTCAAGCTTATTTTGTTCTCCTCCCATACCCGGAACACTAATATATAGACAATGAAGGCCATGCACATCTAAATGCTCTATGCGATTTCTTTAAAGAGCATTAAAGAACGTGGTTATCATTTTACTTCAGGTTTCCTTTGCTTTACAGCTCCTCAAATATCTTTTAAATGTTTTATATATTTTTCTTCTTAATGATGAATTTTTAAAAATATTTTATAAGGATTGTTTTTCATTACCTGTAGTTTTGTTTGTTGTATGCTTGCCCAGAGTTGCTTTTAGTGAGATGAATGGCTATATAAATAGAGAAAACAGGAAAAAAAATATCACTCCCAACAGCCAGGTGAGCCAATCTTTGAGGAAGGTTTCTGGAACCCCACTCGGAAGGAAGCTGAGTAAATGGGCTAATTTTACAATCCTAATTTTACAGTCCCCGCTCCGCTACTCTTTCGAATGCTCATCCTTGTGCTGGGAAAAGGAGCAAGAAGAGAAGTGATGTCCGTATTTTCATTCGTTGGAGGGAAAGAGTTTTAAGCAGAAACACAATAGGGAATACACATGGAAAGGAATGCACTAGCATCAGCTGTTTGCCTAGCCCATTTGCAGCTGCCAGTTAGGAAAAAGGAAGGCTGTAGCATGAATTGACTGATTATAGTCTGGTTCCTTACAGGCAACAGTGCAGGCTGGCTATAGAGAGTTCTAATTAAGGTCAGAGAGTTCACCTTGTTAACTTGTAGTTAGCATTTTTTTAAGGATACGTGTCACCTCAGGAAGGCAACCTCTCCACAGTGCAAGGGGGAGGAAAACAAAACCCCGGTCAGGCACAGGATAGCACTGGCTGTAATGATGAGCAAGTGATTGAGAGAAAGAGAGAGGTGGACACTGTGAAGGTCATAAACGCATCATTAGTTGCAAAATTACTTTTTCCATCTCCGTTTAACTACAAATGGTTGCTGAGCAAGGTAGTCACTAAACAAGGACTGCCTGTGCATTTTTACCAGTCTTTGTAAAAAATGCAATTTGTGCCCACAATCTGTCATTCCAAAAACTTTAGTCATAGTCCTAGAAATAAAATCTGCACTAGCCAGTCATTCATTTGTAATACTTTTCTTTCCCTTTTTTTTGTCTAATTCAGTGGAAGACCATTTGAACTCACAAGTTTTTCCTTCCTTGACAGGCTAATATATAATATCTAGGAAAAGGGTTTTAATAAATATAAAGTAGGTAGCTGAATCTGATAAAACTGTTCTTTGTGTAGATACAGAAAATTAGAGTTGGAAGGGACTTTGTAGGTCATCTAGTCCAACCCCCCGCCCAAGCGGGAGACCCTACACCATTTCTGACAAATGGCAGTCCAATCTCTTCTTGAAAGTCTCAAGTGATGGCACTCCCACAACTTCCAAGGACAAGCTGTTCCATGGGTTGATTGTTCTCACTGTCAGAAAGTTTCTCCTTATTTCCAGGTTAAATCTCTCCTTGTTCAGTTTCTATCCATTATTCCTTGTCTGGCCTACAGGTGCTTTAGAAAATAGCTTGACCCCTTCCTCCCTGTGGCAGCCCTTCAAATATTGGAAGACTGCTATCATGTCTCCCGTGGTCCTTCTCTTTACTAGACTAGCCAAGCTCAGTTCCTGCAACCGTTCGTTGTATGTTTTAGCCTCCAGTCCCCTAATCATCCTGGTTGCTCTTCTCTGTAGACTAGATTATGACACTACTCTGAGTCAGTTGGTCAGAATTAGAGAGTAGCTGCTCCATTTGAGGTACTCAGAATTTCTGATTTCAAGCATCTCTGGGCACAGTATAGATATGCTGAATTTTCTTTTCTTGCTCCATAGGGTTGTGACAAAAAGATGTACACATTCCTGAGAGGAACTAAGCAGCTGCAGGTGCTTCGATTTCTAGGAATCTCCATAGGGGTTACCCAAATTTTGGCTATGATCCTTACAATTACTTTGGTGTGGGCTCTGTATTATGACCGCCAGGATCCACGCACAGACCAAATGTTGTCTTTGAAGAATGATGCTACTCAACACCTGTCATGTCATTCTGTGGAGTTATTAAAACCCAGCCTGACAAGAATCCTTGAGCATACCACAATGGCAAACAGCTTTAACACACACTTTGAAATGGAGGAACTATAGTGCAATCTGCCAGGCTGTGATTTCTACAATTTGAATATAGCCATTATTTTGGATCCTGGACACTATATTTTAAGCTGTCATGGAAAAGAGGCCACGGATTGAAGATTCTCTTAAGGACAATTGTTTTTCTTTTCTCATAAAATTTGTTAGAGTTGTAATGCTAAAAATAATTGTTTTACAAAATAAGGACAATTTGTCATTTTTCACAAAGATTATATGCACCATGTAAAAAGTAGATCCCTAGTCTCATTATATTGAGTGAAAAAAAATAGGCAGGAATAATTTTAGGGATCTCACCTATTTAAAGTTTTCACTTCAACAATTCTGTTAGATTGAGGATGGAAGTCTTCAGTGCTGAAAGCCCCACAGATGATGGAGGGTGATAGATAATCAGTGTTCAAGAGTTACATATAATTTAAGTGATTTTTCCATTTCATTTTCAAGGAACGGAAATTAGCAAGCCACAATTATTGAACGTGTTGCATTCAGATCTGATCCCTTGAAGTTGTTCATCACAGCTGAGAAAACCCTGAACTTGGGATCTTAAAAAAAGCACCCTCTGAAAATATGGCAATCTTATCAGTTTAATCCACACATATGTGAGAAAAATAATTGACAGTAGCACTGTGGTCATGAATGCACTGATGGGAGTGCCCTATGACAGGGGTCCCCAACCGCCGGTCCGCGGACTGGTACCGGGCCGCGGAACAAGCCTTACTGGGCCGCTGGTTGCTGGGCGCCGCCATCTTTTTTGACGAAAAAGTGTTTCCGGTGACGTCACCGGAAGCACTTTTTCGTCAAAAAAAGATGGCGGCGCCCAGTTGACGCCGGTACCGGGCCGCGGCGCCCAGCTGATGCCGGAACCGGGCTGCGGCGTCGAAAAGGTTGGGGATCCCTGCCCTATGATACAGCAGATGTATGATTTGCATTTGGAATGTAGCTATCAGTGAAATCCAGGCATGAAATCCAGTTACTTAACAGTACGTCACTTCTCAACATACAAGTATAAACTTTGGATCTTCCCTCTTGTTTGTGCATTGCAATACCAACATCAATGGATTTTTTTTTAATATCATAGTCTCATATCCTGCAAGCAAGCAAATAGTTGGTTTATCCCACAATAAAGGCACAAAGAACAGCTTAAGGAGAAACCATGACAACTGTTATTACTAAATAATGGTGGTAATTGCCACTTAAAAGATCAGGGATAGATATGTATATAGTAAAGTGTGTATATGTGTAATAGAATTGCTATCAACATGGAAATTTGGATTTTTGTAAAAAGGATAATCTTATTTTAGAATCATTTTGTTTAGTTTAAGGAAATATGTGAATCATTTAATTTTTAATGATTGTTAATTTTCAAATTAAATTATGTGGACTGAAGGAAAAAACATATTTAATACGTGTATTTGTTATATGTGGGTTGCTTGTGTGAATGTCTCTGTGTGTGTGTGAATGTTCACCTTAAGGAGATAATTCTATTCATATGTTTATTTGCTGAAACTTAAGTTAAAGTGGCAATCTATATTGTCTCCAAAGAAAAGCTCCTTGTAAAAGTATTCCAACTTTTCCCCTACCCTACTTATTTTTCAGTAAGAAATTTGGAGGATGATTTATCCAGTTAACCACTGAAATAAATGAGAATAAGGCTCACTTAACTTTGCTTAAACTTTGTACTTAGTGTTGTGGAAATAAATATTCATGTATGATTTAGCTCATTTGAATACCACAAAACTATCTCTTTTGCAGGAATTTTTCTATAGGTCACCTGCTATCTGTCACATATTTTCATTTGAATGTGCATATTTGATTGGGGGGGGGGGAGACTAGTAGATGCCTAGCGGTATATAATTTGTATGGATATTCTTTTGTATCATTTCAGTTTTGTAATCAGGACAGTCATAATGCTGCTTAGAGCAGGGGTCTCAAACTCAATTTACCTGGGGGCCGCTGGAGGCAGAGTCTGGGTGAGGCTGGGCCGCATAAGGGATTCCACAAAAAACGTTGTTAAAAAAATATCCTCAAATGTCATCAACAGTTAATGATTTCTCCAATACATGAACTGTCCTGAACACATGAATGGAACATTGAATGAAGATCATGAACAGTTCCTCAGAACATGGCTTCTCCAGCTTACTCCTTGCTGCCAGAAAACTTGACAACGCTTCCTCTCACATATCTGAGCCACATTTGGCTTGAGAGAGGAGGCACTTGAGACCCTCAGTATGGCTTGAAGATGATCATCAGTAAGTCTGGACCTGTACTTGGACTTGTTAAAGTTCAGGGTGGAGAAGAAGCCACGACGAGGAATGGCAGGCGGGACTTCCTTCAGAGGTCCATTCCCCCTGCGGGCGGCACTAATATTATACTTTCATATCACGGTGGGGGCCACAGGATATCGTCCTGCGGGCCGCAATTGGCCCGCGGGCCGCGAGTTTGAGACCCCTGGCTTAGAGAAACCATGATTTGTTACAGTATAACCAGACAACAGCTACATATGTATCTTCATCTTAGCCTTCTTCTCTACTAAACATGCAGTAGCTTAAAAGAGAACTCATAATTTGTTGAGTTTTTCAGTCTCCAAGAAAGAAGATGTGATTTAAATACAGTCTACAAATTAGGATTGTAAATGACAGTTTCAACTATAATTTGCAAAACAAGATTCTGGAGAGTATGCAAAGAACATTTTGCACTTCGATCATCATGGGAAATTGTAACTTAATAAAACTGTGATTTATTAAACCCAGAGGTTTCCTTGAAAGCTGAGCATACAAAGAGGCAGAAGGGGGAAACAAAGAACCAAAGATTGATCTCACGACAGTACTTGTATCTGCACTTTTGATTTTGTAAGTACACAACATGGATTAGCTGATCAATAGGCTAAACAACAGGTTATTTTGAAAAAAAAAAACTATGCTTTTTTTCCATCTACAGCAGAAATCAAAAGCTCCTTCTATAGAGATATCTTGATTCCAATTAGGTTCCTTGTGCATAGTCCACATAAATCTACTAATTTAATTTCAAAGGAATATCTAAGTTTGTCCTTGTTTATGCAATCAAAGATAGCATCTTTATAGATTGCAAGGAAAAAAAAAGTTGCAACTATTTTTCATGTTGAGTACTGGGGTGGCTTAAATTCCCACGAGACAACTTACTTATTGAATTCTAAAAAGTGTATCTTACTGTATTTTATATGTACTATAGAATTAATTTTCAACTAGTATTACTTTTCTGCATTTTATAAGCAGGCAGTTGAAATTATTGTGTCTCCTGAGAGATACTGTATGGGTGTCAAAATTAGATATCCCCCCCATTGTTCTTTGCAAGCTGAAAATAGAAAAGGACTGGGCTGAAGCAAATGTTTGGAAACTAGCTTTTAAGTGATTGACCATGTGCCTTATCTCTCAAGCATGATGCATTGAACTTGTGAAGTTTTTATTCTTACACAATTCCCATCAGTAGCAGCAAAGGATGAAAATGCAAGCGATAAATGGAAGCTTGTACTCTTGTGATTTTAAATAGTCCCAGCTTGCCCTGGTCTTCATTTTGGGCAAGGAAAACAAAGCCATTACTGTCATATATTTTATATTGTGGTGTTCATTCATTGATTCATTAACTAGTTGAGTCATTCACTAATTTCCTTTTGTCTTTTAATGGGATTTAGCTGTTAGGTTTTTTTTTTCCTTCTAACCAGGGATTTATTACGAACCTAGAGCTACCTGCAGCATATTTCTTGGACACTGCTTTGCTAGTCTTTAGGTAAAAGATGTTTGTTTCCTTAGGTAGCTGAGTGGATTCTACCTTTTTGAACTTCTTGCAGATCCCAAGAATCACAGCCTGTCATACTGAAATTACTGATATCAAAGATGACTAGTCAGGCCAACATGTCATCTAAAGGCATTTTCACTTTGCTTATAAAGAGCAATCAAGGAGAAAGTTGATAAGAGCTTGGCAACAGCTCCAGTTTCCTGTTTGGCTACACTAATATACAGAAAAGTGCAAATAGATGTAGGTTTGGATTATGCATAAGTACAGTTGAAACTCGAAAAATTAGAACATTGTGCAAAAGTTCATTTATTTCAGTAATGCAACTTAAAAGGTGAACCTAATATATGAGATAGACTCATTACATGCAAAGCAAGATAGTTCAAGCCATGATGTGTCATAATTGAGATGATGGGCTTACAGCTCATGGGCTTACAGCTCATGAAAACCCCAAATCCACAATCTCAGAAAATTAGAATATTGTGAAAAGGTTCAATATTCTAGGCTCAAAGTGTCCCACTCTAATCAGCTAATTAAGCCATAACACCTGCAAAGGGTTCCTGAGCCTTTAAATGGTCTCTCAGTCTGGTTCAGTAGGAATCGCAATCATGGGAAAGACTGCTGACCTGACAGTTGTGCAGAAAACCATCATTGACATCCTCCATAAGGAGGGAAAGCCTCAAAAGGTAATTGCAAAAGAAGTTGGATGTTCCCAAAGTGCTGTATCAAAGCACATTAATAGAAAGTTATGTGGAAGGGAAAAGTGTGGAAGAAAATGGTGCACAAGCAGCAGGGATGACCGCAGTCTGGAGAGGATTGTCAGGAAAAGGCCATTCAAAAGTGTTGGGGACTTTCACAAGGAGTGGACTGAGGCTGGAGTCAGTGCATCAAGAGCCACCACACACAGACGGATCCTGGACATGGTCTTCAAATGTGGTATTCCTCTTGTCAAGCCGCTCCTGAACAACAAACAACATCAGAAGTGTCTTACCTGGGCTAAAGAAAAACAGAACTGGTCTGTTGCTCAGTGGTCCAAAGTCCTCTTTTCTGATGAGAGCAACTTTTGCATCTCATTTGGAAACCAAGGACCCAGAGTCTGGAGGAAGAATGGAGAGGCACACACTGTAAGATGCTTGAAGTCCAGTGTGAAGTTTCCACAGTCTGTGTTGATTTGGGGAGCCATGTCATCTGCTGGTGTTGGTCCACTGTGCTTCATTAAGTCCAGGGTCAATGTAGCCGTGTACCAGGAGATTTTGGAGCATTTCATGCTTCCCTCCACAGACGAGCTTTATGGGGATGTTGACTTCATTTTCCAGCAGGACTTGGCACCTGCCCACACTGCCAAAAGCACCAAAACCTGGTTCCATGACTGTGGGATTACTGTGCTTGATTGGCCAGCAAACTCGCCTGACCTGAACTCCATAGAGAATCTATGGGGCATTGCCAAGAGAAAGATGAGAGACATGAGACTGAACAACGCAGAAGAGCTGAAGGCCGCTATTGAAGCATCCTGATCTTCCATAACACCTCAGCAGGGCCACAGGCTGGTAGCTTCCATGCCACGCCGCATTGAGGCAGTAATTGCTACAAAAGGGGCCCAAACCAAGTACTGAATACATATGCATGCTTATACTTTTCAGAGGTCCGATATTGCTCTATGTACAATCCTTGTTTTATTAATTGCATGTAATATTCTAATTTTCTGAGATTGTGGATTTGGGGTTTTCATGAGCTGTAAGCCATTATCATCACAATTATGACAAATCACAGCTTGAACTATCTTGCTTTGCATGTAATGAGTCTATCTCATATATTAGGTTCACCTTTTAAGTTGCATTACTGAAATAAATGAACTTTTGCACGATATTCTAATTTTTTGAGTTTCAC